AGTCCACACAGTGGGTTAGGGCTCACGTAATACTCTGCACTGGCTTTCACAGCACAAAGCACAATTGTAATTAATTATGTAATAATTTGGTTATGTCCATCTTCTCACTAGACTATAGATTTCATTAGGGAAGAGACTTATATTTCTCTACTATATTCCTGGTGCCTTGTACATGCCTGGTGTAAACAGGTGTTCAATAACAATTATGAATTAATAAACTGCAGCAGATGCCCTTTGAGGGGATGACTGGATGTGCAACTCAAAATATATATAATTGATAAAGAGGTAAAAGAAAGTCGTGACTGTTGCTAAATTCAGAGGTAGAAGAGGTTAACGAGGTAGAGATGAGAAGAAAAATCATACCACCATACAAAACATTCTGAGAGGTTAACACAACAGAGGTGAAAGCAGACTTCAAAAAGGACATAATTTCCATGAAAAACATGTCAACTATCAAGTCACAGAGTTTCCCTGGGACTTTAATGGAGGCTTAGTATGAAAGGAGGTGTAACTACCTCCCCCCACCAACTACGCAGGATTGACAAAATTGCGCAGTGGGGAGGGAGATACGTACTGGGCGAATGTCTGCTGAGCTCCAGCTCTGGTCTCTCCAGGCTGCTCTGAAAGTCAGGAGGCAGCAGGGAAGCCACTCCCTCAGGATGGATCATCTCGTCCTCCGACTCAGCTGAAGCTTCTGCAAAGTACAGATTGGGTCGGGGCAGGGAGGGAGTGAAGGGCTCAGCATGTGGGAATATGTAGAGGAGTGAAGGAGATCAGGCAAAGTCATGGATAGAGTATATACTAAAAAGAGTGCTTTACATAGAGAAAAACTCCCTAGGATTAAGCTCTTCCTCATCTAAAAGGGTGCCTTAATTTACTTATTACTCTTCCTGTTGGCAGGAATCCTTTTCTAATAAGATAGTCAAATTGTCTTCTTTCCTGACAAAAGGTAAATAGTAACTCACTTGGCATAAACTACCAAAGCAAATAAAATAGTCTTAGGCTGACTTATTCCTGAAATTGCCTAGTTAAACAGGCCCATCTACTCAGTTACAGGAACAAGAATGAAGAACTCCTTGTAAGAAGTGACAGTCTGGGCTTACCTTCAAGTTCTGCAGCTTCTCGAGCTTCACGTTCCAGACGCTGCCTAAGTAGCTCCTGCTGCTTTTCCAGATACTGCTTTATGAAACTGTTCTGGCTCATTTCCTCGCCAATCTGTGTTGAGGACATGAAAAAAAAAAAAAAAAAGTCTAGGAAAGCAAACTAGGAAAATGCAAGGAAGAAAATTCCATGGAGCAAAGACCTACCCCTTATATCTGGACTCAAGAAAGATGATTAAAATGTTGGACGGCTTCCTTTTTAAGCGACTTTTATGTTGAAGATCAAAATAAATGGTTCTATGATTCACAAAAAATAGCAAAAAGAGGAAGTGCACATACTTTCTTATTTTATTTTTTTAAGTATATATATATATATTTTAAATAATATATTTTATTGATTTTTTACAGAGAGGAAGGGAGAGAGATAGAGAGTTAGAAACATCAATGAGAGAGAAACATCAATCAGCTGCCTCCTGTACACTCCCCACTGGGGATGTGCCCGCAACCAAGGTACCTGCCCTTGACCGGAATCGAACCCGGGACCCTTGAGTCTGTAGGCCGTCACTCTATCCACTGAGCCTAATAGGAAATATTATCTAAAAATAATCTAAATTTTTTAGTAATATCAAGAAATAAAAGGGGAAAATACTAGGTCATACTATTTCATCTTTTATTGTTAACAAAAGACCAATCTCTACCTATCTAGGGAACAGTTTAACAAACATCTCCAAAATTCAAGTACAGTACTTAAAAAATATGAAAGCAAGAGACTACATAAAGGGATATCCATTCAGCTTTAGACAGAGTTCTAACTCCACTTTCTTTGGGTGGTAATACTTGGTAACAATATTTAAAATGCAGTCGCTTAATCCTTCCCATACTTTTTTTTGCAACACAGACTCCCACATCACTCTTCTGCCCTTCAGCTTTCTCTCCATAAGTCCTCCACCCAAGAGCCTTCTTGCTTGACAAATGCTATTAGAACTCCAGGAAAAGGAAAAAAAAAAACTAAATATGTTCTATGTTACTAGTCATCTTTCCTAAGCATAGTAAATGTTGGCTTTCACCTAAAGTAAGATGAGTTTCTTGGTACTCAATGGACACTGATGAAGTGTGGGTTGCATGTATTAGAGAATATATGTATTTACTGCAAAAATTCTGTTAATAAAAGCAAAGCTTCAAAGACTAAAACGCAAAAGGAATATAACCATAAACTGATTAACTTATGCAGTGTCTTATGTTTAACTAAATCTCTGTGAACAAGCTATATTATAAGACAGCTTAATGAGGTGATAACAAGGGAGTAAGAATTTTTCCAGAGTATCTTGGGACTTCATCTAGTACTGGAGCTGCACACCACTGCAATAACAAAGATCTGGATTTTTTCCTTTAAGTGCATGACACACTACAATGATGAGATTTTAAAATGGAAAAGAATCTTAAGAGGTCATACAGTCTAAGATAGAGCTAAAATGTTAGCTTTCAAGGTTGTTGTTTTTTTAAACTGTGGGATGATTTCTTCTAAAAAAAACCTTATGTAAAAACTCAATATACAAACCAGATAAAAATAGATCTAATCTAGTTTAAGAGGGGAGTGTGAATCTCTCCTTTCTTGGGAAAAAGGTATCTTCCCTCGGAAGCCCTCAAAAAGCAGCTCCCCAAAACCCCAGCAGAGCAGCTACAGTGCTATGGATCTAGTTCAACCTCTTTATCTTATACACAGGGAAGTTGAGGATCCAAGGCTTTCAAAGGTTAATTACCTTGCCCTAAATAACAGAGCAATTAATAATGTTTAGGAGTAACTTTATGGTTAGTATTAACACTTTTAATGGTGGATGATTTCCAAAAGATTGAATTCTTGGAAAATCTTAGTCAAGCATTTTCCTTACATTATATCTACATTCAAAGACCACTATTTCCCCCAAATCAATAGCAAATAAATGACTACAGATCCCAGCACAACACTTAATCAGTTGGAGCCACATTTTTTCTGCACACACCATTTCAAGTATCAGAAATCAACTAACAGCTCCTCTGATTCTGTTCTTGAATTCTTTATTAGAATTCAACTGCCCTGGTACGAGAACATTTCCGACCCAGGGAACTTAGGAAATATTGGTAAGGAATTAAACATCAAATATACATCGTGTCCTTCCATGTATCTGTGCATCCAACGAGCCTACCCCATCTAATGAACCTTCTTCCTTACCTGGGAATTTGGCTGAAATGCAGCATGGGGCGTTGAGTGTTTCTGTAAATTTTCTAGCATTAGAGCCTGGTATAGAAAAGGGCAAAAAGTCAGAAAACAGAGAAGAAGAAAAAACAAAAACCCACCCCTCCCTCAATCTCTTCATTAAGTGCAACGACTAACCATACACACTTAAACTGTATTCCTTTTCCAGGGACCTAAAAGCCCTTCACTAATACTGTTCTCATTTATCTTCAGAAGACCCTTAAAGGTAGCCATGGTTACTGCTCCCAAAAGTACAGAGGTAAAATGTAGGCACACAAGAGACAACCAGGGACTTGGCTATAAGTAATAAAATCAGTGACAGAACCAGTGCTATAATCCCTATTACCTTCTGCACTTCTGACTAGGGCTCCTTCTAAATCTGGTAAAATTACTTCAAATACTCAAATCAGCTTCAAATACATGAAACCAACATGGGGCTACTGGCTGTGGGCTGACTGAATTACTACGTCAAACAGTTACCCAGGACTAGATCTAATCGAGATTCTTTTCAAAAGAGTGACACGTAGATTTATCAAATTTAAACATTTTCAAAAAGGAGGCTACAGAACAGAATGAGCTCAGGCTCTGTAAACTGAGCTCTAACCCAACACACACCCCCCCGCGCGCACAAGAAATGTCAGCTTGTGTATAAGCAACGGTCTGCCAACTTAACCCTTGGGCCAACCCTGCCCCAATACTGCCCACCACATATCCTAATTAACCCTAATTAAAACCAAGACATCCTCACCTTCCCTCCATTCACACAAACCTATTCACACCAATCCACCCATCCACCGCATGATGATCCCACCCCAACTTACTCAAACCGATTCAAAATCCCCAACATATACCAACCTGCCTCACCTCTTACCAACATTCACCGAACTCCAATCTACTCAAATTGCTTTTGAATGCCCTATTAATTATACACCCCTCTCTAACCATGTCCCTTCAAATTAAGGATTCTCTTCACCTCACCTAATATAATCAGACACTTTTACTCTACTCCAATCCTATTATTTGGATACCGATACCAAGCCCATCAACCCCTCCGCCCAACTATACCCCTAACTCCGACCCAGCCCAACCCGCCCCCCCCTCAAGCCAGCAACGCCGGTGGTTGTAGTGGGATTTAACTCCTTCTGCAGCGCATGCGCCGAAACCACAGACACAAACAAGGAGCGGGTGGGGGAAGGAGGAAGGAGCTTAAGACACTCCGGGAGAGTAGCGCGCACCCTCCCATTTTGGGCTCGCGCCGCTGCCGTTAAGGCGGGAACCGGCGCTATCTCAATTTCAATGCGAGCCTCGCCAACCACCGTGCGCGCGGCTCCGGAGGTTCGCGCTGGCGGCCTGAGCGAGCTCGCGCCGAGCCCGGACACTGCGCCTGCGCCGCGGCAGAGACTCGTCTCTACCGGGTCCGCTCCCCTCCGACACCCCGGCAAAGCCGTCTCCTCACCCCTTTGAGCCGCTTGACCAGGGCACTCTTCTGCCCACTCTTGGCTAGGCCTCGTTGTTCCAGTGCGGCCTTCAGGTCGGTCACCCGTAGCGCCTGAAGAGGCTTCCCGTCCAGAGTCACCTCCTCCAGATCCGCCATCTTGCGTGAGGTACTCGGGTCCGTCCCGACGGCTTCGGGCATCTTCGGTAATTTCCGCCAACGCCCTTCGAACGTACCGATCTGACCCCGCCCACTGCCGTAGTCAACCCCTCGATTACCACTCAGAACTCTCCGGGTTCCTCCGGAACTGCTCGGGTGTTTCCGTCTCCACATCGGCACCAATCGGTTCTCTCCATCCTCCTAGGTGCTCCCCCCCCTCCCTCGCCCTGCTTTTAGAACTCGGTTATCTCCGTTTCACCGAGGCTTTGAATCGAATCTATTCGGAAACCCTCGACTTTGGCATAACCATGATCGGAGTCATTCGGCTCTCTTCGGACCTAAAGCTGAGGCGCTGAGGTGCTTGGGTGTTTGGAGCTGGTCCGGGACCGGAAGTGCGTGGGCTGCCTGGCTGGCCTTGCTTAGGGTTTTCAGGAAACATGGAAGCGGTGGCGATAGTTGGAGCCTAAGTACTCTGATGGTCTCTCGGTGCCCTGTGAGAGGAAAGGGGAGGTAAGCGGGGTAGAAGCCCCTCCCTGGGCTGGGTGAGACTCGGTGCTTGCGGGTCACCCTCGTAGGGCAAGTCTCCCGCTCTTCTACGGAAACAGTTGCCGCCTCCCATCCTATTAAATCCCCACCACTCCCATCTAAGGATACGTTGTTCTTTCATACTTCGAAATGCCAGGCTTGGTGGCCCCCAAAGTGGGCAAGTGGCAGCACCGTGTCTTCGGACTCAGATTGAAGTAATTCATGATCACTGAACTTGAGTTTGCCATGGAAGCCAAGACTTGGGAAAAGTTCTCCCTTTCCCCGGAAAGGAGAGTAAAGTTCCTTTCTGAGGAATTGCTTCCTGTTAAGGCCGCTGAAAAAAGACAGCCTTTCTCAGGACTGTTTTGGTACTGAACTGATGTTATTGCTCGGGGGTTCCTTTCTTTCTCACTGCAAAGAATCCAATTTGCAGTAGAAGAAATACAAACAGTAAAATAGCTCATATACAATAGTAGTTTAAGGTTTTCATTGTTGGAGATTCAATTATGGGCCTTGGAAACTATTCAGGTTGGCTGACCTAGTTGCATTAGTGATACAAATCAGTGTCAGGGCATCAATAGGTATTATATTAACTTTTTAAAATTTGATTTTAGAGAGAGGAAGGGAGAGAAAGAGAAACAGAAACATCGATCGGTTGCTTCCCAAACGTGTTCTGACCAGGGATTGAACCTGTAACCTGTGCGGTGACCAGGAATCGGATCCGCCATGGGAGGATGCTGCAACCAACTGAGCCACCTCCCCTGGGCTCAATAGGTATTATATTAAACATTAAGGACAAATTTTCAAAGACATGAATTGTCATCTACAGCAGTGTAGTAACACTGTTCAATCCTTAAGCCACCAAACCAATTAGACTTTTTTCAGCCTTATATAAACAGGTTATTCTCTTGTTTATCTTACTCTTTTATCTTATTTTGGGCCAGGCGCCCATCACTTATTCTGCTCTTTAATTTTTTCCTGGTGCTTTACAGAAAGTATAAGGAAGTAATGGATGTTATGAAATTCTTGGCATATTTTAGAAGTTATATGCATATTGCAAAGGAGGTGTGTGCGTGCGTGCGTGCGTGTGTGTGTGTGTGTGTGTGTGTGTGTATTAGTGCCCCATGTGCACGGATTTGTGCACATTGAAAGGAAATTAATTAGAAGCTGTCTGGCTGGGTGGGACGGGCTGAACACGCCCTGGAGCCAACCTCCCTCGGTCCCTCCCCAGCTGGCCACACCTAGGGCAGCACCTCGATTCGAAGGGCATCTGTGGAGTGAGCGGGGTCCCTCTGGCAGGTGGAGTCCCTTGGCCCAAGGGGTCCCGGAATTGCAAGAAGGCAGTTCTCAGGTGACACTCCCAGAATCAGGCTCTCTCCTCTCTGGTTCCAGGGTGCATAACCCCACAACTGCCACTGCCAAGTGACCACAGCTCGGCAGCTCCTGAGTTGAGCATCTGCCCCCTGGAGGTCAGTGCACGTCATACCTAGTGGCCAGTCGGATGGTCGCTCAGCCCTTTATATAAATAGATAAATGTTATATAATGTTTTTTTTTCCCCTTCTCTGTTGAGATTGCTGGAATGATTAGTATCTAGATCCTCCCTGACCAGCTGCATGTACTTGATTAAAAAATGGGTTCCTTTTTTTTCACTTAGGGAAGATGTGATAGACCAACATTAATAATTGGTTTTTTTTGCCTTTACTCAGTCTGAAACATAGGAATAGGCAGGAGAAAATGAGCAAGAAATGTATTGGAGAAGCTGGAATTATTGAGGGTCAAGGAACAGCAGGGAAAGAGGAAGAGAAGAAAAAACAGAGAGGTGGAAGGGGTCAAACAAAACCAAAAGGCACCTACACATAACTCAAGGTTACCATAGCCACAATTCCCAGAGCAAAGAAGATATATGTAACAAGAGGATTTGGCCTTGCAGCTTTTGAAATTGATCTTAAAGAAGCACAAATATCTTATTTTCCCTCAAAAATTCTCCTGTGGTGCCAAAGTAACAAGAGGATGAAATCATCATTCAAGGAGACTTTACAGATGACATAATTGATGTCATTCAGGAAAAATGGCCAGATGTTGGTCATGATAGCATCAAACATCTTGGAGAAATGAAGAAGTGATTTTTAATTATCTAAACTGAGAGTTGATATGGCCAAAGGGAAAGAAGTTTTTTTGAGAAAATATATGTTTATCCTACAGTAAAACTGTAAACTACCCTCACCCTTGGCATTTTCACAGTTCTGTACAAGGCTGTTCTGTTTTTTTTTTCTTCATTGCTATAGTCTAATAAACGGGAGACATGCTTATGCATGAAATAGAATTAGTCCAAAAATTTTGGTCACTTGCCCAGCCAGTGTGGCTCAGTGGTTGAGCATTGACCTATGAATCAGGAGGTCATGGTTTGATTCCCGGTCAGGGCATATGCCTGGATTGTGAGTTCATTCTCCCTTCCTCTCTGAAATAAAAAATATATATATTTAAAAAATTTTTTTTGGTCATTTGAAAAAGTGTTGGTTATTTTTAGATTGTAAGGATGATGGAGGGAAACAGTGGTTAGGGAGGGTAATAGGTTTGAAAAAGAGAGGAAGGTTGGCAAATATAAAATGAAGTTATTCTTGGAAAATTTCTCTAAAGTTGTTGGATAACAACTGAAATAAAGGACCCTGTTTCCCGGTAAATTGAATTGGTGAAAAGTAATTTTTTTAAAAATATATTTTTACTGATTTCAGAGAGAAAAGGAGCGGGAGAGATAGAAACATCAATGGTGAGAGAGAATCACTGATTGGCTGCCTCCTGCACCCCCCATACTGGGGATTGAGCCCGCAACCTGGGCATGTGCCCTGACCAGGAATCAAACCATAACCTCCTGATTCATAGGTCAATGCTCAACCATTGAGCTATGCCGGCCAGGCAAAGTAATTTTCTTTTAAATGCTGATGGGATGTGATAAGATTCCTTGTTGTTGGGAAGTTATATTTTGGTTGATCTCTCTAAAGAGTATATAACTGCTTTTATGTTTCAGGATGCCACTGGAATCATCATCTTCGATGCAGCTATCCTTCTCTTCTCTCTTACCCTCAGTGCCAGGCAATTCTATTAACTCTTCCCTTCCCCCAATGTCTTACATCACTTCCCAGGAAATGAAGTGTATTCTTCACTGGTTTGCCAGTTGGTCAGGTCCCCAGCGTGAACGTTTCCTACAAGACCTGGTAACTAAAGCAGTGCCAGGAAAATTACAGCCATTGCTAGAAGGTCTGGAGCAGCTTAGTGTGTCTGGAGCCAACCGACCACCTTGTATCTTTGAGTGCCAACTACGTCTTTGGGATCAGTGGTTTCGAGGTTGGGCTGAGGAGGAGCGCAATGAATTTGTCAGGCAGCTGGAGGTCAGTGAGCCAGACTTCGTGGCAAAGTTTTACCAAGCAGTGGCTGCTACAGCTGGTAAAGACTGATAGGCATTAAAGTCAGAGAAGACAACCATAGTTGATGGAGCCAAAGGCACAACTCTACAGTGAGAACTTCAGATGTGCCACTTAAAGGTCTGGGGATGGTATCCTGATTCACTGACTGAGCTTGCTGACTAGTACAGGCCTGGTTATTTCAATGTTTACAGCACATCCGCTGGACTACTAGTGTAAATGTGTTCCATCTAAGCAAATCCAGAGTAGCAGTCTGCCTCTAGCTTACTTCTTTCCAGGAGATGTCAAACCCTCAAGAATTTAATGGCTTCTTTTGCAACTATAACCAAAAGGCACCTACACATAACTCAAGCCTACTGCTGGCCCATGGGGATATAAAGTAGAACCTTCCTACTCCAGAAGCAGGAGAGAAGAGCAATAAAAGGTCACGTTTTTATATTTAGCTGGATTCAGATGTCTGGTTTCACCTCCCTTAGCAGATTCAGGCATAATTATGTGACATCCTAACCACTAGCTTTTCCTGTGATGATTTAGAAAAAATTATGGAAAAATCAGAAGAGGGAGATAATTATTCCTTCCTCCACACTGATGTGTGTTTGAATCCAAATAGTAATGACTTTTTCCAAAAGCATATGTGATATCCTTGGAGCTGTTAGAAGATATTCTGTAAGATTGCTCTATAACAATATGAAAAAAAAAGTGACATTCTTTAGAGGTTGAAGGGTTTATTTTTTTGTATCAAAATAAAGAATGAATCTTTGGAATCATAAGTCTCTACCTGTTTTTTCATTGCAAACCCAGTATGAAAAGAGGCATTCTGAGAAAAGTAGAACGTAAGTGTAGCTAGCAGATTGACTCCCATCCAGTTGTCTTCCAAGAAATAATCTGTCCTGCCCCCATCATGCTCTGGGTAACATCACACCTCCCTTATTCCTCCAAATGAGCCCCTTGGGCTTTGGAGCTCTGATGAATGGTAAGGGGCAGATGGTCCCACCTGAAGAGTAGCTCGTTTCTGATAGGCCACGGTTCCCAGTGCACCCACCAGGATAAGCAGCATTAGGCAGAGCACTACTGACAAACCTAGGTGGGTCATGGAGGAATTATGACCCGAGGTAACCAGGAACCTAGGAACAAAAGTAATATTTGGCTTGGAATAATGCCTAGGCTTAGGAGGTGAAGGGCTTTACCTTTATTATACATAGAGCTCATAAAACCCCGCTTTATGCAAACAGTAAACTAAACAGAAAATAAGAGTGACTACAGAACCTGAAAATAGGAATATGACCAGTATCCAAGTCTTCAGCATCTTAGATTGTTGGAAGGAGACTTAACTTGACAGGGAAGTGGCTTAAGGGGAAGGTTGGCTAAACTGGTGTTTAGGTAGTTAGACCTGGTGCCTGGATAGTGCTTAAAAAAAGAAGGGATGGTGGGATCCCTATGTCCTAGAGATGGGGGAACTCCACTATCATGGTGGGAGGGGTGTCCTGTAATGATAGGCCAGAGATAATCATGTCAAGGATCCTTATTTCCTGAAATAACCCTGTATAAACTCATGTATACACATGAGTAGGTGCTTAATAAATACAATTTCAAACATCTGGACTAGGAATTGGAAAAAAAAATCTACATGCAATGTTATCTTACTTGCTGTATTCTGTGGTAAAGTTGGCTCCTCCATAATATACTTCTAGAGGCTTCTTCTGGAGAGTCAGGGTCAGGGCCCTGTGCAGCATACCAACCGAAGGCCCTTGGCAACCAGGGGGCTTCCACATATGTACAGTGAACACCAGACTAGTGGTAATTGAAGGGCTGTGGAAATAGCACCTAAATAGACATTTGGATCTATTAATGGAGCGATAGTCCCTGGAAGGCCATATCTCATGAAACATGTAGGCTTAGGAGTGGGATGAACAGAAAATCTCCAGAAGACAATTGTGAAGTAAAGGACTTAAGCATTCTCTATGGCCCATCATAAAAAGCCTCAGTCTGAATTGTCCCTTTTTACCTTCTAGCGCCTCCTCTGCGCACCAGAGACTGCAGGATTGCTTCAGTCAACTCTTGTCCTTCTTCCTTCCCTAGGGAATGGCCTGGGGGCCCAGCTAATCCGAAAGACAGCCTGAATAACAGGTCTTGGGTTGAAAGACTCATAGATGGGGAAGTAACATCTGTATCTTCATTAGTCTGACACAGCCGACCCCGGGGACAGAAGAGAAGACCATAGTACCCAGGTATCTACAAGGAAACATGTAGCAGGTTATAGTCAGTTACTTGCTCAAGTCCTCCTAAGAAAATGTACAGTCTAGATCAGAGTCTTGGGCTCAGAGGTTACTTGGTAAAAAATGAACAGAAAATAGTTTGGTTAGGACCACTGTACAAACATTTCCAAATTTCTTTTAGCCAGTGTGCTACAGCTTTTTCACCTATGACACCCACCTGAATAGCCTTTCCTGGAGGGCATGAAACCCAGGGGGATCCCTCCAACTGCACCTTGTAGGCTCCCCTCTCTGTGCATTGATGTAAGTAGCAGTGGCCAGTGAGTTCCTCTTCCTTCAGGTGTGGGATCTGAGAGGGATGTCTGACCTTGTCCCCGGGGAGCAGTTGTGATGTGAGGTTGGAAAGGAAGCAACGACTCTGGGAATGGTAGATCTCCCCATGGGGATTCTCTGCCCCAGGTGGGAATCCATTTTCCTTTTTCCAGCATTCACTCTGAAGAGCAGGGCAGAAGATAGAATAGTGTTTGTCTCGATGTCTTTGAAGTTGACTCCTCTCTTTGTCCATTCAGTTTCACTGTTTTCTAATCTACTCACCCGGTTGGCCAAGGGCTTGTACATGCGGCAGCCTTCCAGCACAGGGTCTGAAGAGCAGCTTCCCTTGTCCAAGTGCAGGTAGTGGCAGCCCAGTCCACTGTACGGGAGGAATGGTAGAGTGACACTCGGATCACTGACAGCTGCACAGCCCCTCAACCACTCAGCACACATACCTGCCAGTACAAAAGAAGTCTGAGGAGCCACTCCCACATGTGGTCACCAGGCCAAATTCCAGGCCAGATCCTTTTTGAGAGATAGGGAGGAAGAACATTCAAAACAAATGAAGCCCCAAACATTCCTCCAGTGCTAGCAATGCTTACAGCCTCCATTACATCTTAGCAGCAGATATTCTTTCCAGCCTCTCTCACTTCCCCCAAGCTGACTTCGGTCATGTGTGCCCTCTGTCATGCTCCCGTATTTCTCACCATGGCCCCACAACAGCTCCTCGGCAGCACTGTGGTTGACTTGGTACCAGCCTGAGTCTTTGAAAGCAGCAAGAGTGATTGGGTCGAGTCGAGTGCGCTGGGCACCATCGAAGACAGCGGTCATTATAGAGCCTTGGAGTAGTCGGGCCTCCCAGTGTGAAGACAAAGGGCCCTAGTGGAGGAGTTAGCTGGTTGCTACCTGGCTACTCCCTCTTCCTTCCATCACCCCGAGGTGTTCTTATTCTCACCTCTTCTTCCAAGGGGGCACCCAGTGAAACCCCGAGCACTCCCAAGTGTTTGGCCAGGCTGTGGCTAACAGTTGGGGTGGTGAGAAGCAGCTGTCCCCACTCATCTCGCCTTGTCACCTGTTGCCTTGTAGAACAGTTCTCTCCAACTGAGTACAGAAAGGGGAGAAGGCAATATGAGGAAAGGTGAGGTGGAATTGGAAGGAAGAAGTTCATGAGATAGTAGTGATTCCTTGTAGTTGACATTGTGGGAAGGCCTCTTCCTCATTCCTCTCATTTACCACTGGGTCCTGAGGGGCAATCCCGCCACTTCTTGAAGAGTTGTCCAGAGAAACCCAGGGCATGGAGCAATTCGTGTAGTGTGGCCTAAGGACAAATGACAGCAGAGAGGGAACTGGATTTGCAACAGGATTAGCCAGCCACTCTATAGCTCCTCTGCCCCATCACTTCTTAGAACTTGAGACACCTTTTATTGAGATAATGAAAGGGTCCTTGGAGCTTGGGAATGAGGAAGCTAATGGCAACTTGCCTTGGGTGGGGAGGTGGAGGAGACAAGGAAGAAAAGAGAAGGGAAAGGAACAGAAAGGAAGACAAGGGAAAGGAAGGGAAGGGAAGACAAGGGAAGGGAAGGGAAAGGCGTGGGCAGGTGTGCTCTGGGGAGGGAGAGAGCCTATTCCATCCTTAATAGGTTCTTCCACTTCATGGGAAGCTGAGTGACCTGCCCCACCTCACCCAACCTGTCACTATACAGCAGTCACCATGACGATGTCACTATGGTTGAGGCTGGGGCTGGTGAGATGTTGGGCACAGTAGACAATGGTACCAGCAAGGGGCCTGTCTTCTGAGTCCAGTTGGCAGCAGGCAGCATAGGCAATGATAGAGGGCTGTGGATGGATGAGTCAGGACAATGTATGGGCAGAAAGGGGAGAAGTGGGGTAACAGAAGAAATCTTCCTGAAAATGGAGGTTCAGTGTTACCAAGGGATGGTTTAAACTTTAGAGGGTTTTTAACCCTCACCTAAACTTCATCAGCATGTCCAAAGTTACACCAAATAAGCACAATTTAATAAAAACTGCTTTTATGCTCCTTGCCCCTTGTTTAAGATTAAAAGAAGCAGAGTAGGGAAAAGGGATTTGATTTGAACCTCACCTCTCGGTGGCACTTGGAAGTGTGGGCAACCCGCACATACAGGAGAAAATCGGTATTTTGGACCCCAGGCCCATCTGGCTGGATCAGTTGCGGGGGACCCTGCTCTGGCCACAAAGCATAACCACGGAGATGGGCATCAGGGATCTGGCAGGGAGTGAAATGTGACATCTAAATTAGCAGATGGGCTGGAAGATATGACAATAGGAAACTGGGTACTAGGAGTGAGGGGCAAAGAGTTTCTATGTCCAGTGTGTCTTAGTGTCATCTAGGCGGCTGGTTAGAATGAGGAATTCTACCATCACCCAGCCTACCCCAAATCTCTGATTTAATAAATTGCCAAAGGGACACGGGGCTCAGGAACCTGTATTGCTAGGGAGCACATTAAGTAATTCTGATGCTGTTGGTCTTGGAGAGATCTAAGCAGGCTCTAGATCTTCAGATCTCCAAAGCTGAGAATGTAATCTCACCTTTGCACCCAGGCAACTTTCTCCTTTGTACCCTGGGTTCAAGAGGCTGCATCTGCAAAGAATGAATATCTGTAGGTAAGCTGGAGACATTTCTGGGTACCCTGAAGAGGCATTGTATACATTCACAATGACATGAACTCACCTATGGTAGTTTGGAGTATCTGGGTCTCCCCAGACAGCATGGCAGTACTGTGCAGGGTCTCGGCTCAAAAGCAGGGGTCCTTGCACCGGAGGCACTAAACAAGATGAAAGGTCCATTTCACCTCAGTATCTTGGAGTTCCAGTCCTCTTCTGTGGTGGTTTTCTGCCTCAGCTCCCTCTGTTCCTCAGCCTTCCCTGACTCCAGTTCATCCACTCACCTGCTAGGACACCCTGGAGTCGCTGAGCAGCCTCTCTCACTGCGGCCAGGGCTCGGGATTCCCCACCCATCCCATCTCCCTCAGGATCCCAAGCTCCACCTGACACAGGGTCTCTTATATGGCAGGTTTGGATTCGGAGGGGCTGAGGATCACGAGAGCCAGGGAAGGTGAGAGGGGAAGAGCGGATGTTCGAGGGAAGTTGGGAGGAAGGTGGCCTGAGAAGGCTCACAGACTTCTGTGTCTCGTCATGTAGACACCTGCGCGTGGCAGCCCCCAGCAGCAGCAGCAGCAGCATCTTCCGTCGGTGTCTTC